CATGAAATCGAGCTTTCAGCTCCTCCACGTAGAATTTGAAGAGGTCCAATGGGGTGGATCCTGCCAGAGAGTCCAAAAACACTGATGAAACCATGAATCATGCCCAGGACAAAGGAATTTTTATTTTGCAATTTGCACCTGGTTGACCCAGCATGGCTGAGAAACGGATGTCAGTTGAGATGGTCGGGAAGAGTTCCACCCAGAGGGACATCGATGTCAGCTTCCCTTGCTCATGCAAATCATCCAGTAAAGTCTGCAAGAATGAGACAGGGTTACAAGAAATGATAGACTAAAACACATCACCTACGATTGGAAACACCAAACGGGAAACTCTACCACAAAATTGTCCCGATTCTTGCGCTGTTGTCGTCTCTGGATCTTTCTCTCCCGCTCCCTCTCCTCATGTTCCTCCTGTTCCAGCTGGCGAATGTGGTCTTCAAATACAATTAGGGCATCCTCCTTGTCCATCCCTACAAATGAGAAAAACCTGATCAAATACTGAATTAAAAGTAAGATCCAGCACACTGGCATTCTTATCTGATAAACTAATGAGGGAAAAACGAAAAGGCTGATTGCATCAATTAATGATGTGCCAGATACAGTTTTACATGCATGTGGTACAAATACTGAATTAAAAGTAAGATCCAGCACACTGGCATTCTTATCTGATAAACTAATGAGGGAAAAACGAAAAGGCTGATTGCATCAATTAATGATGTGCCAGATACAGTTTTACATGCATGTGGTACAAAATATCAGGGTAGAAGCATCCAGTCATGTTAAGCTCTAGCATTAGACAGTTCAGACAGTTCTGACATTCATCATCCCATTCCTTTGTAAGACCCATTTGAGAAGGATAGAAAAGCCCACGGAGCAAGTCCTTGTCGTTGGCAAACGAGGGATTGTCAACGAGGCTGAGCTGGGCCTCCTGCCATGTTGTCTTGTATGTCACGTCCACCATGGAGTCCAGGATGGAGGAGAGGACCTTCATGTTTCGCTTCCTCTGCAGCTTCACTTGCTCCTTCTCTCGCTTGGCCAGGTTGAAAATCACGTCCTCATAGATGTCCCGGCGCTCTGGTTCCGGCACAGCTTTCCAGGCCTGCAACGTGACAATCACTCATTGATTATTGCACCTATTATTGATTATCATACCATAGAGAAAAAATTAATTGGAAAAGTACATAAGAGATAAAGAAATAGATGGAGGCTTTCCAAATTTCAACATGATA